AACCTGTCTTGGTCCCTGCCTGGTGCCACGGTTGTTCTAAGGTCCTAACTTATTTTATTTTTAATTGAGGTTAAATTCACATAACATAAAGTTCACCATCTTAAAGTAAAGCAATTCAGGGGCATCGTACATTCATACATTCATAATGTTGTGCAGCCATGACTACCTTGTTCCAAAACATTTTCATCACTCCAAAAAAACTCCATACCCATTAAGCCGTTACTCTTCATTTCTGTCTCCCCCAAGTCCCTGGAAACCACCATTCTGCTGTCTCCATGGATTTACCTATTTTCAATATTTCCTATAAAGGGAATCACACAATAGGAGGCCCTTTGTGTCTGGCTTCTTTCACTTAGCATAATGTTTCCAAAGTTCATCCCCACTGTAGCAGGTATCAGTACTTTCTTTCTTTTTACGTCGGAACAATATCCCATTGTATGCAGACACCACAATTTGTTTACCCATTTCTTCCTTGGCGAACATTTGTATTGTCTCACTTTTGGCTATTGCGAATTGTGCTGTGAGGAAGATGCACGTGCTTGTATTTGTTTGATTAGCTGTTTTCCTTTCTTTCGGGTTTATATTTAGGAGTGGGATGGCTGGGTTATGTGATAAACTCAATGCTTAACTTTTTCAGGAACACCAAACTGTTTTCCAAAGTGGCTGAACCATTTCTATTCTCCCTAGCAATGTACAAGCGTTCTCATTTCTCCACATCCTTGTCTACACTTGTCTTCTGTGTTGTTTTTGTTTTATAATTACAGTTACCCTAGTAGGGATTAAGTGGTATCTCACTGTGGTTTTGACTTGTATTTTCCTAATGACTACTGATGCCGAGCATCTTTTCATGTGCTTGTCGGCCACTTGTATGTCTCCTTTGGAGAAATGTCTATTTTGTTCCTTCATCTATTTTTTAAGTTAGATTGTTTGTCCTTTTATTGCTGAGTTGTAGGAGTTCTTTATATATTCTGGATACTAGACTCTTATTAGATATATGATTTTCAAATATTTTTCCCCATTCTCTAAGTTATCTTTTCACTTGCTTGATAATGCCCTTTGATGTACAAACATTCCAAATTCTGCTGAAATACTATTTGTCTACTTTTTTCTTATATTGCTTGTGCTTTTGGTGTCATATTTGAGAAATCACTGCCAAATCTAAGATCATGAAGATTTACCTCTATGTGTTCTTCTAAGAGTTTTATGACTTTAGCTCTTATATTTAGGTCAATGATTCACGTTGAGTTAATTTTTGTATATGATATGAGGTAGGGATTCCTAACTTGCTCTTAACTCCTGCTCCCAAGTTCACCTTGGCTTAGGGTCCAGCCTGGGTCCTGTAGCCTGCTGGCAGTTGCCCTGATGCCTGCCCTGCTAAATGTTTCTTGCCTGAATCATCTGTTGGTCTGGGACACTTCTCCATCTTATGTCAGCTTCCATGATGTCCACTGCTTGTCTGCTATGGCTTGCCTTGGATTGGATCCCATTAGGGAGGACTTCCTCTGAGCCACCCAGCTAGGTCTGTTCCTCCAGCTCCAGACCATCCCTGTCATAGCTTCAACCCAGGCCCTCTCTCTCCCCAGATACTGAGCTATCCTGTTATTGCATCCAGTCACTCCAGCAGTATCTTGTGACAAAATCAAGTTTCATCAATAAAGTGCAATTGCTAAGGGCATGGACGCTGGAACTGGGGACCAAATCCCAGCCTTGCCACTTCCTACATGGGTGACTACAAGACAGCTATTTAACTTTTTTATGCCTCAGTTTCCTCCTCTGTAAAATGGGGATAGTTATTATACCTATCTCACAGGGTAGATAGGGCAGTTAAGTGACTAAATACATAAAAGGGTTAAGAAGAATGCCCAGCACATGGTAAATCCTCCGTGAGTGTTGGCTCTTAAGAATGTGTGAAAAGACCACCAGACCCCGGGAAGGGTGTTACAACTGACAAGAACGACATTTTAGTTTGAAGGAGCTCATCGTTTTTCTGGGTCCAAGGTTGGGAGGGGTCACCTATCAGACCAAGGAGGACAATAAACCTACTCATGCCAACAGACAGGGCGAGCAAGTAGACACAAGGAGGGAGGGAGGAGGAGGTGCAGTGCCCAAAACCAATCTCTCTGGTTGCAAAATTCTGTTGGTACCTCCAGGTTAGATAAATGGACAGCAAATTCAGTCCCCAATAACTGTGATCTAATAAAAGCTGCAGAAAGCAGGAACTCATTTTGCTGAGTT